TTCTCGAGTTTTATAAAACGATTCTTCGAGTTTTATAAAACGATTCTCGAGTTTTATAAAACGATTCTCGAGTTTTATAAAACGATTCTCGAGTTTTATAAAACGATTCTCGAGTTTTATAAAACGATTCTCGAGTTTTATAAAACGATTCTCGAGTTTTATAAAACGATTCTCGAGTTTTATAAAACGATTCTTCGAGCTTTATAAAACGATTCTCGAGTTTTATAAAACGTATTTTTATTTTTACTTTTGCGGAGACTTTTAGCCATTGATTCCGTCGTGACCGATTTTGACACCAACAGAGCATCTTATCATATGTGTCCAAGAAGAGAATGATTCTTAGAGGATGAGGAAATGACTGATAGCAGGATCAAGATAGCGTATGACTTCGTTTGCGATGTTGCAAGAATCGGTTCGATAAAGCTCAGGGCACATGGTGGTAGAGTCTGCACATTGACCGGAGTTAGACATGTTCCAGCTATGTCCAAGAACTTGATCTCATTTAGTCTTTTGGATAGAAGAGGTTTCAAGTATTCAGGTGGAGATGGAGTTCTGAGTGTCTACAAGGGTTTAGATGTGATTCTGAGAGGTTTCATTCATGGTACTCTGTATTTGCTGGAAGGTTCTACAGTTTTAGCAAATGGTCTGGAAATCTGTTCATCTGAGTTCAATCAGTTTTGTAAGGATGCAATAGCTACTAAGCATCTTACAGTCAGAGATACACCACAAAAAATGGTGTAGCAGATATAATGAACAAAACTTTTCTGGAGGAAACGAGGTGCATGTTTTCAAATACATGTTTGGAGAAGAGGAATGGGGATTTTGACAAACAGGTGGAGCTGCAGGAAGTGCAGTCGGAAGAACCGTGTCGAGCGATGATGGATCAACAGTGTCGATCGATGACAGATCAACGGTGTCGATCAACGTCATATGTTCAGTGTCAATCGATATCGGATGGTCTGTATCAATCGACGTCAGATAGTCAGTATTGATCGACATCCGAAGATGTAGAATCGACCAATTTCTGTCTGACGACCCATGATCGAACGATCCACATACATGGGATCAAACTATCAATGTCAGACAAGCTGCCAGAATTCTCTATTTCTGGAAATCAACGTCTTGGGTTTACAAAATGCAGTAGTGCTAGAGATAAACCAAGGAGAGTTGATGTCAGACCACCAGAGAGATATTACTTTAATGATATGGTGGGTTATGCACTACATGTTGCAGAGGAAGTGGATACATATGAGCCATTCACTTACAGTGAAGTTGTTTCTAGTTCTGAGTCTGAGAAATGGTTTCCTGCAATGGAAGATTAGATATAGTCTCATGAGAAGAATCATACATGGGATCTGGTCACACTATCATTTGAGTATAAGAGGTGTGACAACTATATGGTTAGTTTGGACTATGACAGGAGTCCTTATGACTGTTGTTTTTACATGAGCAAGGTGGAGGATGTTTCGTATATCTACCTGGTGCTATATGTAGATGACAAGCTGATAGATTCTAGGAAGATGTATGACGTTCAGAAGCTGAAAGAGCTGCTGAATTCTGAGTTCGAGGTTTTCTGGTACCTTAAGGGTACATCTGATGTTAGTCCTGTCTACGGAGACAAGGATCTGAGTCTGGTTATAGGCTATTCTGATTGGTATTATACAAGAGATGTGGACAGTAAGAGATCTATGACGGGTTACGTTGGGTGATTCTGTTGTGAGCTGGAAGGAGACTTTGCAGTCAACGGTGACTTTGTCTACTACTGAGGCAGAGTATATGGCATTGACAGAAGCTGATAAGGAGGCAATATGGTTGAGAGGATTGGTCAGTGATCTTGGTCTTCATCATGATCAGGCTACTGTGTTATGTGATAGCTTGAGTGCTATCTGTTTAGCCAAGGATCAGGTTCATCATGAGAGAACCAAGCATATTGATGTGAGATACCATTTTTTTGAGAGATGAGAAGAGGATTGACGTGAAGAAGGTAGGAACAGCTGATAATCCTGCAGACACGGTCACTAAGCCGGTTCCTCATAGCAAGTTCAAGCATTATTTTGACTTGCTGAATATCTCAAGCTGTTAAATCTGGCCTTGATGGGCGTCTGGCCCAAGTGAGGGCATCTGGCTCTGAGGAGCATCTGGTCTGACGGGACATCTGACATCTGAGTTCGACGAAACATCTGTGGCAAAGAGAGAGTCTGGTACATATGAGCACGGAGAAGTGCATTCTGGTACATCTGATTATGGAGGATTCAAGTCAAGGTGGAGATTTTTTGAAATATGCCTTGAATCTGCGATGTGACGGCATTGTTGGCTTTAAGCAAGTGCCAGCAGTGAAAATGCACTAGTTCCCACTTTCTTTTCAAATTTTTTTTTTTTTGTGTTCTAGAGTCTTAAGTTTTTGATTATTTTGTAAAAATATCTAAATTTTATATTTGATAATACAAACGTAAGACTTGATTTAGAAAATAAACTTGCATAAGACCCAAAATTTTTTTTAAGTCTGCGGTCAGCATGGAAGAGTGTTTGTGAACGAATGAAATTAAGTCTCACATCGGTAGTTGAAGAAATAATTAACTATTATAAAAAATATAAGATATGTTTGGATGTGGGACTTTTTTTATACAGATTTTTTGAGATTGTTTCCAGATGGTATATAGATCCACATTTCCACCAAACCTTATGTTTTTCTGCCAAAACTGATGTTTATACCTTTGGAGTTACCATCTTGATGATCATAACCAGAAGAAGCATTCATAGTTGGAACGAAGAAGCTCTAATCCAATATGTGAGTTTATAAAAAAACAAAGTTTCTATGGGTGTTAAATGCTCCCTTAAACGTATTTGTTATCGTCTTATAGGCTCTGAAATGTTGGACCAGTGGAGAAGCCATCAATTTGATCGATGAAGTCATGAGCAAAGAAGAAAGAGAAGAATCGATAAGCAAAATCTTGAGATACATTCACATTTCTCTGCTCTGTGTGGATGTCAATCCAGAGTCAAGGCCAAGTTTAGATGTTCTTCATTGGTTTAGTTGTTTATCTACTCCTTTACCAGAACCAAGAATTGGTAATCAGTCTCTTGTAGAGGACGAAACAATTGGTTATCGGTCTCCTGAGGAGGAAGAAACAAATTGGTTATTGTCGCCATTCCCTGGATATGTCTCTCCTATGTCACCTGTGTCTCCACGTTAAGGAGACTTAAGTGTCATAGAATGAATTTAGCTCTGCTTGAATGCTCTGTTTATTGCTTTGTTGAGGTTTTAAAATTATCTATGGGTTACTCTTATAAAAGAAATAGTTGAATCTTCTCAAATAGTTGAATTTTAGAGGAGATAATCTTCATATTAATCCAGAAACACCACGCTTCAGACTTAGTTGAGAACGATTGCTACTCTCTTTTTATTACTCCAGTAGGAGCCAACGAGAGAAGACAACTCTTTATATTGCTCTATTGATAATAACAGAGCCAAAGAGATTACTGTTCCATAGAATTCCATGCTGTCTTTCAAAGTAACCATAGTTTGCCGCAAAAAATCCATCACCATCAAGTGAAGAACCATCAACGATTGAATCCGGTAAGACCCGTTGCCACCATCCGCAGTAGATCTGTCAATTACTTTTTCTAAACGATTCAATTGAACCGAAGTTTTTCGATTCCAAAGAACAATCCAAAATTTTGCCAGATTCAAAATAAATTGGCAATCAAACAAACTAGAAGATCATAAAGAAAACAGATCAAAGAAGTAGAAATAAGAAGAATTAAACAAGCCGATGTCGGAGCTATAGAAGCCTCCGGCCATCGGCTTGAAACTAAAAAATCTCTCTTTTTTTCTCTCTTGAAGGTATTGTGGTAATCTTGATCTTTAAGAAGTTTCCACGTGGCACTCTCAGTCTTACCTCTTCAAAGAGAAGTTTGGACTATAAGAAATTCTAGAAATAGAAGCAACCTTCTGTTTTCACTCGTATCGAAAGATTATTTAACCAAACACGTACCAACAAGAAGAAAAAAGAAACTAAACAGAAAGCGAAAGCAAGCTTGGTTTTTTTAGGGTTTGAAAGTTACAAGCTTTAATTTTGTAGGTTGCATAAGGAATTTTTTTTTTTTCAATCTTGTTTTCTGCTGGTTTGGGATAGTAACTAAAAAAGATGTGTAGTTTGGCGACAAATCTGTTGATGTAGAGACAAGACAGAGATGTAGCATAACATAAATAGTTCATGAAGTGTGACATGAACTAGGACAAGGGACACTTGACGTGTGAAAGGCATATGGCACGAACGATACATTAAAGGAAGATTTAATGAAGAGTTAGAGAAAAAGGGAAGTCGTGAAGAAGAAGCAATCAATCATAAGAAGAATTGAAGACTGGCTTATTCGTTGAAGAGAAAAAAATGGAAATTTTCCATTAATAAGACCAAGTAACCTAGGGTTTCCTCCGAAGTATAAATAGGACGTTTAGGTCGTGTGTTAGCGTTAACACACAGAGAGAGCTTATAGTAATAGACATTTTGCAAGTCTGAAGAAGGAGAAGCAAAAGCATCTAGGGGTTAGAAGTGTAAGTGGTTCAGAGACTGTCTTAGGTCTGTGAACGAGTAGGCTAGTCAACAAGTCAAGGTTTGTCTTGAGCTTGATTAAAAGATTGCTTTAAAAGAACTTCTATGTGTTTTTTAAAAGAATTAATCTAGTCGTATTTCTTGAAAGAACTGTCCATCTATTACTGTGTGTTCTAGTTTGTGTAGCTCTTATTATCTTACACTAACAAGTGGTATCAGAGCGGGTATCTGTGTTTGTGTCTAAACAGGTAGGATCATGCGGAGTAAAATGGAGAGCTATCAAGAATTGGTGAAGAATTCAAAGGTGATTCTGGAAGTAGGAAACTATGGGTTCTGGAAGGCATGTATGAGGGCTAACATGTATAGACCCATTGGCGTGGAAGGCTGTGAGTCACCGGTTGCAAGAGGTGAAGATGGGAAAGATGTACCTAAGAATGAAGAGCTCTGGACAGATGAGGAAAACAAGATGGCAAAGTTTAATGCGAGAGCTCTAACTGTCATTCATTGCAGTGTTGCTCGGAAACAGTTCGAGTTAATCCAAGGTGTGAAGCAGCAAAAAACGCTTGGGATATTATTCAGAAGTACTTTGAAAGTACATTAAAGGTTTAAAGCTCAAGAACAGACATGCTTGCAACTCGGTTTGAAGAACTGAAGATGGAAGAAAGTGAATCAATTGGCGATTTCAGCTCCAAGCTCAGTGCTTTAACACAAGAAGCACTCACTCTTGGGAAAAAGTACAAGGAAAAGAAACTGGTGAAGAAGTTCCTGAGGTGCTTACCCGAAGATTCATGGCTTACAAAGCGGCCATGAGTGTGTCCCTAAATACTGATGAGATGACATTCGATGAAGTAGTTGGCATGCTTCAGGCACATGAGATGGAAGTATCTGGTGGAAAGAAGGAGCAAAAGGGAATCGCCCTTGCCTCAGTTGAGAAGGAGCAAGAAGATGATGATCCGGTAAGTCTGTTGGTCAAAAGACTTGACAGAGCCTTGAGAAGGGTTGAACAAGGACATAAGAAGTTTGCTCCGGGAAGAAAGACTGCTGAATCAGATAAAAACCCACGGAAGAATGATGCCAAGTGCTTTGAATGTAAGGGTTTTGGTCACTTCAGAACTGAGTGTCCAACTATGAAGAGAAGAGAATTTCAGTGCCATGGATGTAAAGGGTATGGTCATACTCAAGCAGAGTGTGAGTCTGATGGAAGAAGAAAAGAGAAATCCATGCTGGGAATCAACAACAATGACTCAGATAGCGAGAGTGAGGAAGAAGAGGTGAACAACTTTGTGGCGTTTCTTGGCATAATGGAGTATGAGTCAGGCTCTGAAAGTGATGCTGAGCCAGACACTGAGCTAGATGAAAGTTACAAGGAGGTTTGTGAAGCACTGATCAGATTGGGTATGGAGAATCTCTCACTGGTTAAGGACAAAGAGCAGATGAAAGGTGAAGTTGCAAAACTACGGGATGAACTACACAAAGAAGCTGAGATTGCCAAAGATAGCGTAAACCTCATAAGGGAGAAATTGGTTCTTGCCAAACAAGCTGAGGAACTTCGTGAGGAATTAGCTGCTGAAAAGGAGAAAGTTACTGAGTTACAAAGTAAAGGTACTAAGGTCTCATAATGGAGGGAAATACACCAGTCTTGCCTTCAAGAATCACTTGGCCAAGCATGGGATAGTGCATCAGACTACTTGTCCTTATACACCACAGCAGAATGGGGTAGCCGAGAGGAAGAATAGGCATTTGATGGAGGTGGCTAGGTCCATGATGTATCATGCTAATGTTCCTAGGAGTTTTTGGAGTGATGCAGTTCAGACAGCCTGCTATCTTATCAACCAGATTCCAACCAAAATTTTGAAGGATCTGTCTCCTTATGAAGTGTTGAACAAAACCAATCCATACATAGATAATCTCAGAGTCTTTGGATGCCTATGCTATGTCTTGGTTCCTGGAGAGCAGAGAAACAAGCTGGATGCAAAGAGTACTAAAGCTATGTTCATTGGTTACTCAGTGACTCAAAAGGGGTACAAGTGTTATGATCCAGCAACAAGGAGAGTGTTGGTATCTAGGGATGTGAAGTTCATGGAAACAAAGGGGTATTATGAGGAGAAGAAATGGAAAAAACCTAGAAGACATGCCTAAAGAACCACATAATATGGTAGTAAATCTGAGGATCTTATTGGAGAAGCTTGGGGTAGACATGTCCCAAGATAAAGGGATAAGAGGGAGCACTCCTCTGTCTGATCAAGCTAGAGAAGCTGAGAAAACAACTCCTCTTGATCATGAGGGGGGAGGAAAGTCTGAATCAGACGTGCAAGAGCAGCACCGAGAGGATTCAGATCATCATGATCAAGAGGTGACACATGAGACTGAGAATTTGGATCAGGATCAGTCTAGGGAATATGCGCAGGGAGAGGAGGTATATGAGGCACCTCCAGAGGTCCAAGAAGAGGTTCAGCGTTTGCGGAGGAGCACAAGGGCGAGGAAGGATCCTTCCAACTGGGTAAACACGAGAGTGTACTACAATGCCCAGGCTGTGGAGCACCCTTCTCAAGCCGTGTGTTCCTTTGAAGAGTATCCTGAAGAGCACATGGTGTTTATGTGTCACTTGGATGAAAATGATATACCAAGATCCTATGAAGAAGCTATGCAAGATAAAGAGTGGAGAGAATCAGTGGGTAATGAAAGGGATGCAATGATCAGAAATGAGACATGGTATGAGAGTGAACTACCTAAGGGAAAGAAAACAGTGACTAGTAGATGGATCTTCACTATCAAGTACAATGCAGATGGAACTATTGATAGAAAGAAGACCGGGTTGGTAGCAAGAGGATATACACAAACTTATGGAGAAGATTACATCGACACCTTTGCTCATGTTGCCAAGCTACATACTATCCGGATTGTTCTGTCTATTGCAACCAATTTGGAGTGGGAGCTTTGGCAGATGGATGTAAAGAATGCCTTCTTGCAAGGAGAGCTTGAGGATGAAGTATATATGCATCCTCTTCCTGGTCTTGAGCATCTAGTAAAACCAAGGAATGTTTTGAGGCTAAAGAAAGCCGTATATGGGTTGAAACAGTCTCCAAGAGCATGGTACAGCAAGCTGAGTACCAGTCTTAATGGAAGAGGTTTCAGGAAGTCTAAATTGGATCATAGTCTCTTCACTCTAGTTACTCCATCATGGATCATTGTGATATTGGTATATGGGGATGATTTGATCATCATAGGAAGTGATTGTTGACATGAAGAATAAATGAGACAAATCTTGTAAAGTGTTGACATGAAGGAGTTACTATGATAAGAAGAGATTGTTGTGATGAGATGAGTTATATGAGAAGGAGATAAGGAGTTTGAGTGTAAGAGAGGAAGAATAGAGTTGGAAAACATAGTTGAGGAAATGTGTACAGATGTGTACGGACAGGTTGTGGTCCGTACACATAAATACTTGCAAGAGAAGTAAGTGAAATGCAAGAGAAGAAAGATCCTTGTCCAACAGAGAAGGTTCGGAAATGAGACACTCCACACGGAAGAGAAGATTTGTTAAGATAAGAGGACCGTTTAAAGATAAGGTTGGCGCCTAAAGCAACTTGTGTGCAAGCTATAAAGTAAAAGGGATCCAGTCCAAGATGCTGAAGGCATCA